CACTACTTGTTCTCTCTCTCTCCCCCCCCCTCCTCTCTCTCTCCCTCTCTCTCTCCTCTCCTCTCTCTCTCTCTCTCTCTCTCTCTCCTCTCTCTCTCTCTCTCTCTCTCTCTCTCTATGACTGGTTTCTGCAGTTTGATTTCCATAGATTTTTATTTCCTTCGTGTATCGGGATGCTACTACACAGTGGTTGCCAGGATCAGGTTGGGTTACCGTTACCTGTGGCAGGTGGCTGCAGGTGACGGGTCTCCCAATCCTGAGCACTCCAGTTGCAAACTCTGTGAGCAGGAACTACGGCATGATCTCCCGCACTACATCACTGAATGCCCAGTTATTAGACCTTTCAGACCAGTTGGCATGAGGTACCTGGAGCTCTGCAATTACTTTATTCACTCTCGTATTCTTGAAGATATCCTCACAGTATACCCAAAATTTGCCAGTGCAGGCTATTAAACACATGACTCTGTATGACTAACCATCCTGCGAGATGGGGACTTGTATTACCACTGCTGCCTTATTCACTCTTGTGTTGTTGATATCCTCAAAATGCATCCGGAGTCTGCCAGTGCAGACCGCTTATCACATGCCTCTGTATGACTAACCATCCTGTGTGATGGGGATTTTATAGCATCACCTAGTTAGCTTTTTTGACACACTGTACTCCACTTCATATAGTCTAGGGTAGCTGCACTAATGCAGATGTACCTCATAACTTAATAAAAAAAAAAAAAAAAGGGATGCTACTTAATTATGGTTTCTTAACCTCGTAACCAATGGTTCTAGAGGAACAGGAGAGACACTAATGGTTACATTTACATTGTCTGAATATTTTTAGAGTCTGATATCCAATACCATTGATTTTTTCAATGTTACTCAGCTTGTTCAAGTGGTAGTTTGTGAACACCATTGTTTCAGGTGTAGAGATATTGCTAACTAGCTCATGGAACACGCAGGTGAGTAGAAAACTGCAGCTGCTGGGGGGTAGATAGTGTGTAGATTATTGACGTGCAGGATTTCAGATTACAGTAGAAATCCGCTGTCACATGACATTGTATTTAGGGAGATGATAACAGTCACTGAGGACAGGGCTACACCCCAGAAGTGTTATCTTGAGGTTATCTTGAGATGATTTCGGGGCTTTAGTGTCCCCGCGGCCCGGTCTTCGACCAGGCCTCCACCCCCAGGAAGCAGCCCGCGACAGCTGACTAACACCCAGGTACCTATTTTACTGCTAGGTAACAGGGGTATAGGGTGAAAGAAACTCTGCCCATTGTTTCTCGCCGGCGCCTGGGATCAAACCCAGGACCACAGGATCACAAGTCCAATGTGCTGTCCGCTCGGCCGACCGGCTCCCTAAAGAGAGCCGGTCGCTAGAGATCCACAGCCTTTCTTAACTCTTGTATCTTAGAGTGTAATCAGATATCTCTTTGTACAAGATATCATACGGCTGATGATAGCTGAAGACGCACATTTAGCAGCTATACACATCTCTTCGCTAAGGCGAAGGAGACAGCACTAAGCTATTCCGACTTAATAACACTTGCAAGGGGTCAGGATTAGGATTTGGGATGGGACGGGGGGAAAGGAATGGTGTCCCAACCACTTATAGACGATCGGGGGGATTGAACCCGGACCTGCATAAAGCGAGACCGTCGCTCTACCGGCAGAGCACACCTCAAACCCGTCCTCCTAATAGAACGTACAATATTTTGACGTATACTCCACACAAGGCCAAAAAACATCTCGCTTGAAAAATGGCAGCGGCTCGCCAAATTAACACACTGTCCCGTTCTCTGTTTTAGGTCCTCTGGTAGGTTAATGGGACCTTTTTAGTAAGACATTTTTTTGACGTTGTGGTTCCTTAGGAGGCTGATGTGGGAGCTGTATTCTCCCGTGTATACCTCAGCCCAGCTGTATTTTGTAATGGCAAGCTGTATTTATTATGGTAAATTGTATTAAAATGGTTGTATTTTCTGGTTGTATTTTGTATAATAAATTACCCTTTTCACTTATCATTTGGTGTGTGTGGTCTTCGAAACGAACTTCTGAGTCATTAAGAATTTAAACGACCAATTACGAAACCTTTACATCTTCCCTTAGTCATGGCGGTTTTGTTTGTATTTAGTAAACAGTTAGCGAGTTTGGCAGCTTCACAGCTTAAGGCTGTGAGCCCCACATGGAGCTCATGAGCCCCTGTGAGCACCACATGGAGCTCACAAGCCCCCTGTGAGCACCACATAGAGCTCACAAGCCCCTGTGAGCACCACATGGCGCTCACAAGCCCCCTGTGAGCACCACATGGCGCTCACAAGCCCCCTGTGAGCACCACATGGCGCTCACAAGCCCCCTGTGAGCACCACATGGCGCTCACAAGCCCCTGTGAGCACCACATGGCGCTCACAAGCCCCCTGTGAGCACCACATGGCGCTCAAAAGCCCCCTGTGAGCACCACGTGGAGCTCACAAGCCCCCTGTGAGCACCACATTGAGCTCACCAGCCCCTGTGAGCACCACATGGAGCTCACAAGCCCCCTGTGAGCACCACATGGAGCTCACAAGCCCCCTGTGAGCACCACATGGCGCTCACAAGCCCCCTGTGAGCACCACATTGAGCTCACAAGCCCCCTGTGAGCACCACATTGAGCTCACAAGCCCCCTGTGAGCACCACATGGCGCTCACAAGCCCCCTGTGAGCACCACATGGCGCTCACAAGCCCCCTGTGAGCACCACGTGGAGCTCACAAGACCCCTGTGAGCACCACATTGAGCTCACCAGACCCCTGTGAGCACCACATGGCGCTCACAAGCCCCCTGTGAGCACCACATGGAGCTCACAAGCCCCCTGTGAGCACCACATTGAGCTCACCAGCCCCTGTGAGCACCACATGGCGCTCACAAGCCCCCTGTGAGCACCACATGGAGCTCACAAGCCCCCTGTGAGCACCACATGGCGCTCACAAGCCCCCTGTGAGCACCACATGGCGCTCACCAGCCCCTGTGAGCACCACACAGAGCTCACAAGCCCCCTGTGAGCACCACACAGAGCTCATGAGCCCCCTGTGAGCACCACATGGCGCTCACAAGCCCCCTGTGAGCACCACATGGCGCTCACAAGCCCCCTGTGAGCACCACATGGCGCTCACAAGCCCCCTGTGAGCACCACATGGCGCTCACCATCCCCTGTGAGCACCACACAGAGCTCACAAGCCCCCTGTGAGCACCACACAGAGCTCACGAGCCCCCTGTGAGCACCACATGGAGCTCACAAGACCCCTGTGAGCACCACGTGGAGCTCACCAGCCCCTGTGAGCACCACATGGAGCTTACAAGCCCCTGTGAGCACCACATGGAGCTCACGAGCCCCCTGTGAGCACCACATGGAGCTCACCAGACCCCTGTGAGCACCACATGGAGCTCACCAGTCCCCTGTGAGCACCACATGGAGCTCACCAGACCCCTGTGAGCACCACATGGAGCTCACGAGCCCCCTGTGAGCACCACACAGAGCTCACAAGCCCCTGTGAGCACCACATTGAGCTCACAAGCCCCCTGTGAGCACCACACAGAGCTCACCAGACCCCTGTGAGCACCACATGGAGCTCACCAGTCCCCTGTGAGCACCACATGGAGCTCACCAGACCCCTGTGAGCACCACATGGAGCTCACGAGCCCCCTGTGAGCACCACACAGAGCTCACAAGCCCCTGTGAGCACCACATGGAGCTCACAAGCCCCCTGTGAGCACCACATTGAGCTCACGAGCCCCCTGTGAGCACCACACAGAGCTCACCAGACCCCTGTGAGCACCACATTGAGCTCACCAGACCCCTGTGAGCACCACATAGAGCTCACAAGCCCCCTGTGAGCACCACATAGAGCTCACCAGCCCCTGTGAGCACCACATAGAGCTCACAAGTCCCTGTGAGCACCACATAGAGCTCACAAGACCCCTGTGAGCACCACATAGAGCTCACCAGCCCCTGTGAGCACCACATAGAGCTCACAAGCCCCTGTGAGCACCACATGGAGCTCACAAGCCCCCTGTGAGCACCACATGGAGCTCACAAGCCCCCTGTGAGCACCACACAGAGCTCACAAGCCCCCTGTGAGCACCACATGGAGCTCACCAGACCCCTGTGAGCACCACATGGAGCTCACCAGCCCCTGTGAGCCCCACATAGAGCTCACCACCCCCTGTGAGCACCACATGGAGCTCACAAGCCCCTGTGAGCCCCACATAGAGCTCACCAGCCCCCTGTGAGCACCACATGGAGCTCACCAGCCCCCTGTGAGCACCACGTGGAGCTCACAAGACCCCTGTGAGCACCACATGGAGCTCACGAGCCCCCTGTGAGCACCGCATAGAGCTCACCAGCCCCTGTGAGCACCACATGGAGCTCACCAGCCCCCTGTGAGCACCACATAGAGCTCACCAGCCGCCTGTGAGCACCACATAGAGCTCACCAGCCCCTGTGAGCCCCACATAGAGCTCACCAGCCCCTGTGAGCACCACATGGAGCTCACTATCAATATTTTTCTATATATTCCAAGCACGTGACTAAGAGTAAGATAATTGAGAATCTGGTCACTAGTGAGAAGGATCTGTGGGGATATGATCACGACATACATGTTACGCAGATAAAGTTGAGGAGAACATGCTATTTGACGGCGGAAAAGCGCCCAAAAGGAGAATTAAATTATCAAGCTAGTGACGAGTTAAGAATTTTGAGATCGATCGTTGGGGGGGGGGGGGGGAAGGAATGGTGCCCAACCACTTGTGGACTGTCGGGGGATTGAACGCCGACCTGCATGAAGTTAGACCGCCACGTTCTACCGTCCATCCAGATGGCATAGCCCTCAAAGACAAGGCTCAACCCTGCAGAACTCCTCTCAAGGGGAGTACACACACACACACACAGAACACATAGGGCCTCAAGTATGTTTAACGAGATAAGCAATAAATACATCTCAAAGGGATAGAGTAGCTTAGGCTAGGACTCACCAGTCTACCGACTTCGTTGTTGTGTAGGTCGATGGGGAAGCGAGGGTCCCTACCCTTCATGCCAGCGTCGACGAAGAGTCTTGCGAACTTGTTCCCGAAGTCGATGTTGTCGGAGCAGCCGCCCCACTCCCAGTCGAGTCCTAGAGGGCGGTGGAGAGTCAAGCAGGCAGCGTTATCAGACAGCCAGGGACATAACGATTAGCTGAAGCAGCTTTGCCAGAAGTACAGGGAATTGGAGAGCGAGATAGAGGATTGAATGGAGGTAAAGGAGGATTAGAGAGTGATATAGGGGGATTGGACAGAAGGATATGGGATTGGAGAGCAAGATAGGGGACTACAAAGAGAGAATAGTATGTTGAAACAGAGATCGGGGATTCATTCAAGAGAGGGAGATAGGTGATTGGTCATAGGTATAAGGGATTGGAGAGAGAGAGAGAGAGAGAGAGAGAGAGAGAGAGAGAGAGAGAGAGAGAGAGAGAGAGAGAGAGAGAGAGAGAGAGAGAGAGAGAGAGAGAGAGAGACAGAGACAGAGAGAGAGAGAGAGAGAGAGAGAGAGAGAGAGAGAGAGAGAGAGAGAGAGAGAGAGAGAGAGAGAGAGAGAGAGAGAGAGAGAGAGAGAGAGAGAGAGAGAGAGAGAGAGAGAGAGAGAGAGAGAGAGAGAGAGAGAGAGAGAGAGAGAGAGAGAGAGAGAGAGAGAGAGAGAGAGAGAGAGAGAGAGAGAGAGAGAGAGAGAGAGAGAGAGAGAGAGAGAGAGAGAGAGAGAGAGAGAGAGAGAGAGAGAGACACAGACAGACAACATTACAAACCTAAATAGCAATATACCATATAAAACATACTGCAATAAGAAGCCAATAACTGACCATTAAACATATCACAACATCAACAAACAGAAAATAAAACCCAATTGCATATAAAGCAACCTATTACAAATCTCGTATGTGTGTGTATATGTGTGTATGTGTGTGTATATGTGTGTATGTGTGTGTATATGTGTGTATGTGTGTGTATATGTGTGTATGTGTGTGTATATGTGTGTATGTGTGTGTATATGTGTGTATGTGTGTGTATGTGTGTGTATGTGTGTTTATATGTGTGTATGTGTGTGTATATGTGTGTGTTTACAGAAAGACTTCGAAGACGTACCTGACGGTCCCTTGGCACGATAATCACAGTTGCAGGAATCAATGGTGCCCTCAGTGCAGGCTCGGGTCACGGTGTGGGTCACCGCAGCTGAGGTCAGGGCATACAGGAACGCCACCTCCCGACAAGCTGTGGATCAAGACGAAAGGTTACAGGTCAGCTACGGGATCGAGGGCCGCTGATACATGTATTACTCCCGTTTTGGGCGTGACTAAGATCTGTCGAAACCTGTCCATCTTTCCACAGTTATGGCGACTTTGTTTGTTATATGAGAGTAAGGTGCTGGAATGATGCCTTATAGAATGCATCCAGTGAGGTAGTTGTCAAGTGAGGCATTGTTGATCAAAATGGCATACGGGATTTGAATTTACTGCATGTCAACTCAGTCTAAAGTAATCTACCATGGGCTGATTCATCCCAGGGTAATCTACCATGGGCTGACTCCTCCCAGGGTAATCTACCATGGCCCGACTCACCCCCAGGGTAATCTACCATGGGTTGACTCTTCCCAGGGTAATGTACCATGGGCTGACTCATCCCAGGGTAATCTACCATGGGCTGACTCCTCCCAAGGTAATCTACCATGGGCTGACTCCTCCCAGGGTAATGTACCATGGGTTGACTCCTCCCAGGGTAATCTACCATGGGTTGACTCCTCCCAGGGTAATCTACCATGGGTTGACTCCTCCCAGGGTAATCTACCATGGGCTGACTCCTCCCAGGGTAATCTACCATGGGTTGACTCCTCCCAGGGTAATCTACCATGGGCTGACTCCTCCCAGGGTAATCTACCATGGGCTGACTCCTCCCAGGGTAATCTACCATGGGTTGACTCCTCCCAGGGTAATCTACCATGGGCTGACTCCTCCCAGGGTAATCTACCATGGGCTGACTCATCCCAGGGTAATCTACCATGGGCTGACTCCTCCCAGGGTAATCTACCATGGGTTGACTCCTCCCAGGGTAATCTACCATGGCCCGACTCACCCCCAGGGTAATCTACCATGGGCTGACTCCTCCCAGGGTAATCTACCTTCTACCTATTATATGAACAGGTCTGATGGGTCTATTAATCATTCATGTGAGTGGAAATGAGACACATTGAAATATTAAGTTAAATATGAAGAGCTTTAATGTACTTGAGTGAAGCTTTACCCGAGTGCTAGTCTTTGGTCCCATTCCTTCACTCATTAGTCTTGTAAATTACTCCGAAAACTCTAGTTTTCTATTCTAGAAAACTCAATCCACCCCACGTCGCCCCCCTCCATCTCTACTCCCCCCACCCAATACACCCTCAACCCACTCCACCACAGGTCTAGACCCACACCACAAACCTATCCCACCAGAGGCCCAGCCAAAATGACCACCCAAATACACCCCCACCACACCCCCCAACCCCACCCAAAACGACCACCTCCTCCTCCATCAACCCTCTCAACCCCCCCAGCAAGAACCACTGCCCCCCACCTCCTCTTTCTGGATCACTATTTACTGTCCTATCAAAATTCTCCAAGCCTGTGACTCTAACCTTTATGAGAGCTCTCTCCAGGGCGCTCACCACGACCACCTGTACTGACCACTGATGCTGAGTTACGGGTCTGTGAGGAGGCCAAGACGAGATATTTATTGAAGGGAAGATCAGACAATGAAAGGAGATATGTAGGTGAAGAAATGAACGGATAAGGACAGTAGATAGAGGTTGGTTATCTTGAGGTTATCTTGAGATGATTTCGGGGCTTTTTAGTGTCCCCGCGGCCCGGTCCTCGATCAGGTCTCCACCCCCCCAGGAAGCCTGTAGCCCGTGACAGCTGGCTAACACCCAGGTACCTATTTTACTGCTAGGTAACAGGGGGGCATAGGGTGAAAGAAACTCTGCCCATTGTTTCTCGCCGGCGCCTGGGATCGAACCCAGGACCACAGGATCACAAGTCCAGCGTGCTGTCTGCTCGGCCGACCGGCTCCCCCCCAGGGAAGGGTAAGAGATACATGTATAGAGTACATGTATCTCTATACATATATATAGAGAGAGATACATGTACATAGACACAGAAAGGTATACATAGGGGGGAGAATTTTTGTTAAAAAGCCAGAAACTATTTGAATGTAATATTGTAAGCCTGTGACAAAGCAATAAGCTCTAGTTAAGAGCTTCTAGCTCTCTAACAAGTGCTCTTGCCTCTTGATTTAACTAGAAGAGGATTTCTCCAAATATTATATACCTTCGAGGTTGACTAAAAAAATAAAAATTAACTGTAGAATGTATAATACTTATTACATAGTTACACAACGTTTCGAACCTACATGGTTCATTCTCAAGTGAGGAGACAGGATTGATTGATGAAGATTAAGCCACCCAAGAGGTGGCACGGGTATGAATAGCCCGTAAGGAGGGGGGACAGGAGTTGTTTTAAATTCAAGGTGGGTAGAGTGAGTAGTTCGGTTATTTGAGTATTTATGGCGGGTTCGACTTTTACGTGAATGGCTTCAAGAATTTGTAATCTTCTTGCATCTTGGGTTTTGTCTATTATATAAGAGTTTTTATTCAGCATTTCTCTTGTTAGGGTGATGTCTTGGGCTTGTCTCATGTGATTGTTAGGGGCACCGGATTGAAGATGACAGGTCAAACGCCTCGTTAGCTTGGTCGACGTCATACCTATGTACTTAGATTGAAGGTTACATCCTTCGTGGGGGCAAGTGTACATGTATACAGGTTTATATGTATACAGATGTACATGTATACAGGTTTATATGTATACAGGTGTACATGTATACAGGTTTATATATGTACAGATGTACATGTATACAGGTTTATATGTATACAGATGTACATGTATACAGGTTTATATGTATACAGATGTACATGTATACAGGTTTATATGTATACAGGTGTACATGTATACAGGTTTATATGTATACAGATGTACATGTATACAGGTTTATATGTATACAGGTGTACATGTATACAGGTTTATATGTGTACAGATGTACATGTATACAGGTTTATATGTATACAGATGTACATGTATACAGGTTTATATGTATACAGATGTACATGTATACAGGTTTATATGTATACAGGTGTACATGTATACAGGTTTATGTGTATACAGGTGTACATGTATACAGGTTTATATGTATACAGGTGTACATGTATACAGATGTACATGTATACAGGTTTATATGTATACAGGTGTACATGTATACAAGTTTATATGTATACAGGTGTACATGTATACAGGTTTATATGTATACAGGTGCACATGTATACAGGTTTATATGTGTACAGATGTACATGTATACAGGTTTATATGTATACAGGTGCACATGTATACAGGTTTATATGTATACAGGTGTACATGTATACAGGTTTATATGTATACAGGTATACATGTATACAGGTTTATATGTGTACAGATGTACATGTATACAGGTTTATATGTATACAGGTGTACATGTATACAGGTTTATATGTATACAGGTATACATGTATACAGGTTTATATGTGTACAGATGTACATGTATACAGGTTTATATGTATACAGGTGTACATGTATACAGGTTTATATGTATACAGGTATACATGTATACAGGTTTATATGTGTACAGATGTACATGTATACAGGTTTATATGTATACAGGTGTACATGTATACAGGTTTATATGTGTACAGGTGTACATGTATACAAGGCTTGACTGCTGTAGAGGGTTCTCCATGGACAGGAGCCCGAGTTCAGCCGCACAACATTGCCTAACTACTTTCTCATAGCGTCATATGTTAATGTGGGTTTGTTGGTCTTGAGACATTTGTTAAAGTGCTTTTCGTTATGTGTTCAACATGCCACTTTATCTGCAAGAATGTGTACATGTAAGAGGCACATAGTTTAGTACATATGTGCGTATATGTATGTTAGCTTACGTATCTACACATGCATGAGCTCACATATGAGGCTTTCAGGTGCTTCAGCCAATTCTACATGTAACTTATTCCATTTACTGACAGTTAAAAAGTTTTTCCTAATGTCTCTCTGAGGGAGCCGGTCGGCCGAGCGGACAGCACGCTGGACTTGTGATCCTGTGGTCCTGGGTTCGATCCCAGGCGCCGGCGAGAAACAATGGGCAGAGTTTCTTTCACTCTATGCCCCTGTTACCTAGCAGTAAAATAGGTACCTGGGTGTTAGTCAGCTGTCACGGGTTGCTTCCTGGGGGGGGGGTGGAGGCCTGGTCGAGGACCGGGCCGCGGGGACACTAAAGCCCCGAAATCATCTCAAGATAACCTCAACATAACTCATTTGCCTCTGCAGTTTCCATATATGACACCCTCGTTCTGCTGTTACTACCTTTGAACAAAGATGCTTTGCCTACTTTGTCAATTTCCTTAAGAATCTTATATGTTGTTATCATGTCTCCTCCTGCCTCTTCATTCTTCCAGTGTGGTAAGGTCCAGTTCTCAAAGTCTTTCCTCATAGCTCAATCCCTTCAACTCCGGTACGAGTCTCGTGGTATATCTTTGAACATTTTCTAGTTTCTACTTGTCCCTTTTTGAAGAATGGGTTAGATGCTAGGGGCGATGCATATTCAAGAATTGGTCTCACCTTCGTTATATTCAGGGACCCTTGTTATTCTGCTAATGTGGGCTTCTGGCATAAGATTTGGAGAATCTGTCTTCCCTTCATTCTATACTACTGTACTAACCTTCGCATTCCTGTTCCAATTCTCGTAACCTTGCACTTGGCTGGGTTAAAGTCTAGCAGCCATTTTTCAGAGCACTTCTGGAGAGTGTGTGTGTGTGTCAAGAAGTGGTCTCTCTCCCCAGCATCACCCAAGGGCGACATCTCTCTCCCCAGCATCACCCAAGGGCGACATCTCTCTGCCCCAGCATCACCCAAGGGCGACATCTCAAGGCCCAGCATCCCACAAGGGCGACATCTCAAGGCCCCAGCATCACCCAAGGGCGACATCTCTCTGCCCCAGCATCAATCTCGTGTCGCAGATGAGGCGAGATACGGCCCCTCTGTTTCCCCACAGATTCTATCACTAAGAATCATTATCATATCAAGCTGCCTGCAATTCCGATCATATTCCTCAGATGCGCGACGCACCTGGCATACCTTTCCCACCCCGACCAGTAGCTGGGAG